AAATAGAAATAAGTCGAAATGCAGCTCATTAGATAAAGACTGAACATTTGAACCAGTGAAAACGGAATAAACTGAAACCTCTGGAAAAAATAGGGGATGTTATTTGTAGTGGATCAATTAGGAGAACATCCTGAGACATAAATCCATGAACAGAAACTCCATATTGGGTGATCTCAGTCTAATACTACGGTTTGTTAAGTCAAATGGTATGCAGTGTATTTTGTGACTCATAAAACTGAACTTTTAGCTGGAATGTGACTACTTTGAGACATTCCCTTTGATAGGAGCAGCTCTGTTCTAACAGGTTACCAAAGCCACATGAGGTGCTTGTTTGTTTTCATCATTAACCAAACTCCAGCCTGAATACAACCATTAGTTTTCTTGATGGGGAGAACTGAATGATTAAATTCCTAGAAAGAAGAGAAAATTAAGTCTTTACTCAAGTAGAAGATCTCTCTACTCAGCGGCGTATTTGCACATTTGTCCACAAATATTATGGTGTTCTTAAACAACCACAAATTTGTTTTCTCTTGTGTTGATGGTGGCTTGTTTGTATGTGTGTCACTGGTGACCCAGACTTACGTAGAGGAATTGCTGCTGTATCCAGAAGGACACTCCTGAATGCAGGTTCCGTTGTGGATGACGTACTCGTGGCAGCTGGCATCCACATCTTTAGATTTCTTGCACTGATAATGGAGGTCCTGCATATCAAGCAGAAGGAGACAAGAAAAAAAAAAGGAATGAGCCCACCTAATCCATATTTATGGTGATAGGAGATTGCTGATAGTGTAAAGACAAAGTCAAAGTGGGTTTGTTAATGTAAGATAGCCACGCTCTGCGTTCCCAAAGCATGACACCTACAGCTCTATGCTTCACGGTATGACCTTCTTTTCTTCAATTGGCGTCTCAACTGTCTGCAACATTTCTAATCACAGTTAACACTTTTGAGTGTTTTCCTGATTGTTGTTATGGTTGGTATGAAAGTATATGCCTGTACAGTTAGCTGCAGGTCCAGTGTTCACATATAGGGGTTTGGAGACTTCTTGAAGAATCTTGTGTCCTGCTTTAAGTTTTGCAGTAAATCTGAGGCCCATCAATTATTCCAAACAGCACGTCAACCAACGGGGGGGATTTCAGCCTTTTCCTTTTTTTTTTTTTTTTTTTTTTAACATGATTTTGCTGTTAAAGGTTAAGTGTAGAAAAGCTTGCCCCTTCATCAAGGTGTCAGCGCTCTGCAGAGAAACCACTTTTCCTTTTATTAAAAATGTATAATTCCTCCTTTACCACTCATCAGCCGTCAAACGCAGACTTTTCCATATGAACCCATGGCCTGTATGTTTCATGTGCCACCCTGCTCCAGAGCACCTCACTGTAATGAATATCTTATGAACAGACTTCTACTGCACTTGATGGCCCACTGCTACTTATTCCCCAGCTTAAAGTTGATGTTTCAGAGCAATGCCTTTACGATTTAAAGACTAATTATCTAGAAACCTTAAGGTATTGGAGCAACAACAAGGTCTGGGTGGGAATGTTAAGGTAAGCACAAAACCAATAACATTGGAGGATTTTAGAGACATCTTTCATTATCAATCAACCTGCTTTCAGAGTAAACTTACTTGGACGGCTGGTTTCCCATGTTGCCGGTTGTTTGGAACATTTTCCACCTTTTTACAGCAGGAAGGCTGATTTAAAACTCCTTTGAGGTCTCTATTAACCCCTTACTGGTCTCATAAGCTGCTACAATCTTCATCTGAAGGTCTCAGAGAGTTCTTCTGTTTCTGTCCTGGTGTTCACTCTCACTTCACACTAAAATAAATGTCAAGGCTTCAAACAGAACGCAGATAAACTACTTTATTATTGCGTGCAGTTGATACGATACGGCTTTCTGCAGAAAATGCAGGGTCGCCAAATTTCAGCACCATCCAGTTACAGTGTGTTTTTTCTATTTATATCTTTTTAATGCTTGACGCACTTATTTTGAAACAAGAGGCCGAATACAACTCAAGCTGCCCCGTTGCATAGGATATCAGTCGACTATTAAATTCTCACCAGTTCAGAAACAAACCAAAAACTGTTGCGTAAAAAAAAAAAAAAGAAGTGTTGAAGAAGGAAGTTAGCGGGCGGTAAAAAAGAGACGGTTTCATAGGTGTGGGACAAGATACAAATCATTTGTAAATTCTGTGGGAAAACAGCAGCTGACTATTAGCAGCTAACGGCGCTAAAGTTAGTATCTGCCTTAGAGATTCAAAACTAAAGGGCTATTTCATATAATTGAACACTTGAAACCTATATAACATTTTTTCTATAAGATTTGTGGAAACTTAAATAATTTTGTCACTATGCAGGATTTAAACTTTACCTTTTAAAGCCAAGTATCATATTTGATCATTAGTGTGATGTTTTTGTTCTTGAAACCCTGACTTACATAATCAAACACATGTAGTGAACAGAAAACATATGAAAGATGATATAGAAATGCGTAATATATCAAAAGTGATGCAAATAAATGATGTAATTTAATGTTTTTACAAAATTTCTATAGTTATTTCATTTGTCACAAAGTTCAATGACAATTCTAATTTTGGAAAATTAGAATCTTCTGTCAATTATTTCCTGGTTCAGGCTTTAAAGGGTTAAAATAGGGTAGGCATTTACAACTTAAAGGTGGGCTAGTCTACCCTGGACCAGGGTATGCCACAATATAAATAATTTTATACACCAGTAGCTCACTCAGGTTACATGCAAAAAGGACTTTAATTTAATTATCCCACTCTGCTGGCTCCATATATCATATTTTTGTGTTTTACATTAGTTTTTTGTTTCTGTTAGTAAACAAAGCACTATTAACACCAAGTGACCGGAGGCAATATTTTGTGTGATGAGTAAAAGAGTGATGGAGTCAAGTGAATCAGCAACTCACTCAGAAAAGAAGAAGTCCAAGATCAAGTGTGACAAAACACAAAAATTAGAAATCTTCTTTTTAATTTCAAGTTGTTTTATATTTTCAGTGATTAACTATTTCCATCAGAGGTCCAACAAATTGAATTCCTCCGACAGGTAAAGAACCAACTTCTGATGAGAGCTAAACACAACTGGACTCAAACATATCATCTTAATAATGTGATTTTGGTTATAGAAATGTACGAACCTGGCAGAAAGAGAAGCTGACGCAGCGCCAGCCTTGGAAGACGTAGTATCCAGGAGGGCATTTGTCCACACACACATTTCCATGCTGGAGGTTCCTGCAGGCCACACAGCTGGTGGCGTTTCCCGGCTCCAAACAGCCCCCCAGGCACTGGTCGTGGCAGCACTGGCCCTTACTGCTGCACGCGCCGTTTTTACAGTTATCGCATGCTGAGGGAAAGAAGACAAGAGGAAGAAGATGGTTAATACTGAGCCGCATAGTAAGACCTACATCATGTTTATTGTAGCTTGGGGAAACTGTTGGAGAAACAGATGCCTGTTTTATACTTGGGTGATTAAAAAAATATCTTAAGCCCACCTCTTAGAAATGCCACAGATCTTTGGCAATGAGCTACAATAAAAGCTCTCATTGACTCATATTCACTCATCTAACTTCATTAACAGAGCTTCCATATCTGAACAGGACTTCAGAAGTAAAACGTTGCTCACTGAACTGTTAAAATGGGAGCTGGCTCAGAGCTCGTCTGCCTGGCTGTGTGTTTCCTTTTACAGCTGCTTTTTGTATCTCTGCTTCTGTCTCCTTGAACCCCAGTCGGCCTCAGCAGATGGCCCCTCACACTGAGCCTGGTTCTGCTGGAGGTTTCTTCCTGTTAAAAGGGAGTTTTTTCTCTCCACTGTCGCTACAAGCATGCTTAGTGTGAGGGATTGCCTTTGAGTCAATGAGTCGATACAATCAACTGGTTTTACTTAGATAGAAAACTTTGAATCAATTTGACTGTATGATCTGGTGAACTGTAAAGTGCCTTGATGACTTGTTTAGTGAATTGGCGCTACATAAATAAACTGAATTGAATTGAATTAAAATCTCCCAGGCATCATATTGGGCCTTATGTTAAATAGTACAGAAGCTCAGTATTCAGAGATAAAAACAAAACAAAACCAACAGAAATGCTGCAGCTATAAACGGCTTGAAAGATTTAACCGCACCAACACTGCTGCCGTTTTGGCTTTCACAGAGAGATTTAGTGACCACAGTTTACATTCGATAGTCAACAGCAGCAGTCTGCTGCAGCGCCATGGAAACAACCTGAATAGCCTGAAAGCCTGAAGATTATGTGTTGCTGGTTAATGTCAGCTTTTATTTCACCAAAGAGAAATTGGTCTGAGAGGCTGATTGTTAAATCATCTGACATAAGTGGTGTATCCTTCGCTTCTGGGAGACCACTCCGCTTTTTCAAATATATGTTTTGATAAAAAAATAAAAATAAAAAAAATGCAAGGTGCATGCAAACAGACCTAATTTGAACAACCTCTCGCAGATAACACTCCAAAAAACTGTGGCGTGCGATTCATATCAGCTTAGTGGGTTGTAGTTTTGGTGGAAATCTCTAAAAGCTTTGCCTGTTCTTTAATAAATAAATAAAATTCCCACCTGAGCTCTAGATCTCTGCAGCATCACCAGCTTTATCATAACCCTCTAGATTGTCTCTCCGAAAATTTTCATATTTGCAGAAGTGCTACTGACCGAAGTTTCCAAAATTCAAGGGGTATGAAAACTTTTGCAAATGGATGTAGATTAGTCAATCTAAGACTGAGAATACAAGGAGGAATATCAAAACAATCATCTACGTATTTGAAAGCAAAACTATTTTAATAAAAACAACAAAAATGGCTGTAGGATGTTTTCCTCCAAAAAAAAAAAAAAAACTATTTTGTTCTGATCTCCAGCTGAGCTTCCTTCGAGGACTGTGTGTTAATCACCGTCTCTCACATGACACCACCAGCCTTGATGTCATGTAGCAACAGAACCAGAGCATGTCAGCAGAAAGCAGAGCTGGGTCAAACAGAAATTAGGCATCGTTTTTTGTTTTTTTTTTAAGACGCTGATACATTTAAACGTTCCCTTTCATAGAGCAATTAAATCTTTTTATAGTTTAAGGAGAATTATAACAGCCGTCATGAAGAAGTGAAAATAGCAGCAGGTGCCACTGTTTGTGAGGACTTCACGTGATCCTTCAGTCCCTAAGATATGGTGAGGACCCCCTCTCTCTGCATTGGAAGGCTGCCCATTGTACTGCCTGCATAAAGAAGCGAGTGGGGCTGTTGCAGGCGGGGTGGGGGAGCAGAGTGGTGGGGTAATAAGGGTAAAGAAGAGCACAGATGAGGAGAGGGAAAATGTGGGAGAAGAAAACCCACCATGTTGAGTCTTTGGGGTAGTTCATGCAGGGGTCGCTCCTCTACTATTCGTTTACTATGAGCTGTAAATCCGACAGAGTGCTTTGCACAGAAAAAAAAAAATAGATATGTATTGCTCCCTCAGCTCCCTCTCTGCCCTCCCCCTCTGTCATCTGTCAGTGGTTTTGTGTGCTTACGTGCTGCAACCACAGTGTCATGTAACAGAGCGGGGAGGGGCCTTCCCCCTTACGGCTCCGGATCCAGGATCCATGCCGGAAATCCACTCCAGCTCCAGATCCACCCTCAGCTTCAGCCAATGTGTTTGCTGGCTGGGGGAGGCAACTGCTCTGTGGCCTCTTCCATGTTGGGGGAAGAGAGCCGCCCAGGTTTAACCCTGGTCCTGCTGGGGCAGACGGGCGGGGGGACAGACGCAGCTAAGGAGCCAAACATGTCAGGAAAGATAAATCCACAGTCGGTGCTTCAGAGGATCAGCAGGAAAGAAAAAAAAAACAACTTCAAGATGCTCTTATATGTAAAACTTAAAACGGTTCAATTCTACTGAAATAAAAGATTCAATTTCATTTTTTTTGCAGGTTTTGTTGCTGGTATTCCTTTTATTTTTACTTAATTATAGAAAATGTCAGAGAGTTGCAGCACGTCAGATGATATGTTTATTCTTTCCATACCAGATTATTATTATTATTCTTTTGTCACATTATTTCAATGGACACAGTTGTTCTTTATAAACCACCAAGTGCTGCAAATTCTGCCAGAGCTCCTAAGACCCTTTTAATATAATTTTATGGATATTTAATAAGGATTATTTTATTTCAACTGATATAAAAGGCAGCACTGATGAAATAACAGATTATTCATATAGATGCCCAAACTTTAAATGTCCTCCTCTTTTCCCTGCAGATTTCAGAGCTTCATTTTTAGATTAAGAAACCTATTTATGAATGATAAAAACAGTCGGTGACTGAAATGGATGCACATCATTGCCACCCTGATCTGTATGTGAATGATCCTGCCACTACTTTTCATTACGATGTCACAACCACTCTTTGTGAATCACTAAAAAACGATCCATCAAGTGTGAACACGTATGGCATTAAAAGTCCATTCAGAATGCGAAAAAACAAAAAACAAACATAATTTTGAAACATGGCCCCTAAACTCTAAGATCCTATAAACTACATCAATTCAGTCCTGTGGAAGCTGCACATAAAAACACACCGATATCCAGATTTAATATTTTAGCAGTGACAGTTATCCCTATTTTGGAATTAGATAAGCATATACATTCACTGTGCTTCAGTTAAACTACCCCTCCCCCCGAAACCACAAAGGCTTCAAAACACCTTCTGGCAATATGATCATATTTGATTAAAGTTCTTGCAGAACTGGTATGAAACAACATGATGTCATGTTTTTATTTAGATGCTAACGTTCTTGCCATTTCATTGGCTAACTTTTTGGGGTTTCAAAAAGAAAGAAAGCTGCATTTCAAATAATGTCAATCCTGATGCATTGGGAAGCTGTTGGTGTTTCTGCTTTAAGGTTATCATAACAAACCGGGCTTAATAATGCCAATACTGCTGCAGGATTATTCCCAATTCTGCTCACGGTTACATCAGGCTACACAAGCCAGCTGCTGTGCCAAACATGCTCCAGTCAGCTCACTCGTTCATTCATCCCCTCCTCCTCTTCCTCACCACCGCCTCACCCTGCACCACTATCTGCTGCTCTATCTCCTTGCCTTTCTAGGCCACGCAGCCCCTCCCACTTTCATTCATACACCGCCTTGTTTGTTTTCATGCAGGCTGGCAGGATAAAGGAGGGAGAGAAGTATGGATGGATAGCTGGACGCAGGGGATATTTCTGTTGTGCCTCAACAACAGGAGGAGGAGGCAGCAGTTGTAGCATCCTGGATAGATTCTCATTTTTTAAGCTAAATACATGCTAAAGCTCAGTGTGTCATTTCATAATATGCTCACCTTTTCCCCTACAAACACACACAGTCTGTTCCAGGAAGGGCTTTGAACGTAAAGTCCGATCAAAGGTGTGCTGTGTTTACCTTTCATTTGACCGTGTTCTCTACCAGAGGAAGGAATGTGGGAGAAGCCAGACAGCCAATCGCACGCTGTTATACACGGCAACACTTCCTGCTCTGAAGGCATAAAACTTCCACATTAATTGGCAACGTCGTCTAAAGGTAAAACTGCCTGAAACAATAACAAACTGCCCCCCCCTTTTCTTATTACCCAAGAGTCGTTTACTCAGGAGAACACATGCATGTACACGTTCATCCAACATTCACCCCAACCCCCTCCTCAATTGCCTTAAAAAAAAAAAAACAAACAAAGAAAACATACACACAGACAGCTGGATTCACCATTTACTATATTTGGCCCCGATGGATTTCGAAAGCTTTGCTGTGAATGCTTGCAGTGATCTGAGGTAAGACATTTGCCCCGAGACAGTTGAGGAGAGACACAGAGGAGTGTAAACAGAAACACACGGATCACCAGGAGGCGGAGAGCGATACCATCAGGAACACCTTTATGATGCAAACATGAATCAACAGATGCACACGCACGCTTAGGCAGAGGACTCTGTGTCACCTTTGATGGGAAACACACCAACACCTGAAGTACATAGATTAGGTCCAATCTAAAGGAATTGGCCAAAGAACATAAACATAACATACAGATGGCTTGCATTTTAAAGAAAAACTTACATTATCTACTTTCTAACAACATAGTGACTTTTTTTTTTTTTTTAGGTCACATCTAGGGCTACGTTCGCACTGCAGCCTAAAGTGACCCAAATCCGATTTTTTTGCCCACATGCGACCTGGATCTGATCTTTTCATGGCTATCTTAACAACACAGATCCAATTTTACCTATCTGAGTCAGGCCACTTGGCTATGTACTCCTGAATGCGATACGAATCTGATCTTTTCAAACGCGACCTGTGTCTGAACGGCTAGGTCGCATTCATCCGACCTGAATGCCATAAGTAACCGACATAG